TGAAAACTCCAAAATGAGCGCGTTTGAACTTTGCCAGGCTCGGGGAAGGGCTTGCTGGGAAAGTTCAAACGCGCGCGTTTTGAGCTGTTCGCGGGCTGAAAACTCCAAAATGAGCGCGTTTGAACTTTGCCAGGCTCGGGGAAGGGCTTGGGTGCTGGGAAAGTTCAAACCACGATGGGTGTCTGACGGGTTTGGGGTTTGGGTGGGGGTCCGGGCGAGACTCTCAAATAATTTTTTTTGGCGTGTGCCAGAGTCTCATTTCTTGTTTGATAATATTTCTTAACATACTGGTTCACCGTATATGCGTATTGGTGTGTATTTACGGGTGTATGCAGGAACTTTTCGGATGATACTTGGGATTACCCGGCGCGTCTTCCATTGAACGTCATGATGAAGGTGCGAACTTCTACTCCGGTTCCTTGGGTGCGTCTACAATTGCTGCAGCCTTGGTCTGATTGTGCTTCGCCTGCCTCAGATGGTTTTCAGGCCTTCGCTGTTCTCCATCGTTGGTGTTGCTTCGTTCCCCAGCCGATGTTCCTGAGGTTGGCAGCGCCGCTTTCAACCTCCTCGGCATTACTGCTGTACCTCGGCTGGTGCAGGTATAACCTAATTGTAGCTCACAAGTTCGTCCGTTGACTTCCGCGTACCTTGCAACCGATTCTCTCATCGGATCAAGGAACAAGTCTGAGATCTAGAACTGTGCAGGTCTGCATCGCAGCTCTCCCAGATGGTGAGATCAAGATTATCAAGGCACCTCGCTTGTGGTGCTTGGATAAGTTGCACACTGCCGCGGAAGGTTGTATACTTACAAATGCGGCAGATACGTACCACACGAACATGAACGATGCTCGGTCTCTTTTGACGGTTGCAGGACCGGAAAGTGTTCGCCATCACCGGAACGTTCTCCGTGTTTGCGTATTTGTCAGGGACTCAGGGTCAGAGCGTCGAAGAAGCCTTCAACACAGCTCACTGCGACAGAAAGTACTGCCAGCCTGTCTGTTATCACCATTTTCAGAGCGAAAAGTTGCAAGGCCGCCCAGGGTGTTTTGACGGATTTCTGGCTGCAGGTGGCTCCTCATCATCCTTATGGTTTTCTCGCAGGCACGACGAGTCAAGCAGAGTCATCACGCTTCATCGATTGGTAAGCCTGGTTATTCACTGACAGAACAAGACGCAATTGCAAGCATGTCAAGTCTGCTTGCAGGACATGGTTGATCCCTGGGAAGGGGTCGTCACGTTTCTCTTCTTTCCTCTATTGGTGATCTTGTCGTCCCTCCCTCAGAGCAGAGGTCGCCCCAGGTTCTTTAGCTCAGCTTCTGATTCAATCTGCAAGCTATGCACTCGACAGCATTGGCATGTACGCACATACCTGTGTTGCATGCATACACACATGTACATACGTACCTGCATACATACATACATACATACATACATACATACATACATACATACGTATTTACCGGCATACGTACTTACATAGATATGCAGTACTTGTGTACATGCACACGCACAGACACACACACACACGCATACATACATGCATACATGCATACCTTCATGCCTACATATTTCGGAACATGCATATGTTGCATGCGTAAAATTTTTGGCCAGAACAAACAGATAAACTCGCTTCCTAGGGTCAGTATTGAAGAGTTGGTTGCTGTGGAAGAACGCCAACAACGAACAACAAGCAACGAGCAACACCAAACAAACATGACACAATACACAACAGTATATAGAAGCCAGCCAACAGTCAAATAAGCAACGGATCACCAGCAGCGAATCACGAACCGCGAGCACCGAACCACGAGCAACGAGCAACCAGCAAGAGCAAGAACAAGAACAAGAACAATATCAAGACCAACAAGACACCAGCAACACCAGCAACACCACCAACGCCACCACCGCCACCACCGCCACCACCGCCAGCACCGCCAGCACCAGCACCAGCACCACCACCAGCACCAGCAACAGCACCAGCACCTGCACCTGCACCAGCACTTCACCAGCAACGGCAACAGCACCGGCACCAGCACCTGCACCTCACCGGCAACGGCAGCAGCAGCAGCAGCAGCAGTACCAGTACCAGCGACTGCACCCGCAACAGCAAGAACCAACACAATGCTGAGAGCAGTAACAATGACAATAGCAATAACAAGGTTGACAGCAAGTACTACAGAAACAAGAACAGTAACAAAACCATTCGCGATAACAGTTAGGTTCACAAGAACAATGACAACACTACCAAGAGTAATAAGAACAGTACTAGACACCAACAACAGGAACAACAGCAGCAGCAACAGCAGCAGCCGCACAGCAACTGCAACAGCAACACTGCAACACAACAGCAGTAGCAGCAACAGCAGCCGCCGCAGCAGCAGCAACAACAACAACAACACTGTAGCAGCCGCAGATCCAAGAGTCCATGCATGTGCGGGCAACAGCAACAACAACACCAACCGCAGCAACAGCAACAGCGACCACCTTCAACAGACAGCAAAAACAAGCACCAACAGCGAGCGCCAGCAACAAGCAACACTGCATAACAACAACCAGCAACGGACAGCATCAAACAACAACAGACAGCAAGGAGCTACAACAAACATCACCAACTTTCAAAAGAAATCAAGAACAACAGCCATGACCACACACCACCAAACAACAGCAGCAACAGCAACAACAACAGTATACGCAACAGCAACTGCAACAACAGCAGCAACAAGCAATCGTAAGAAATAGCAAGGCCCGCAACCACAACCACAACACAACTCCAGCTGCACCAGAACAAGCACCAGTAGCAAATGCAACTGCAAGTGAAACTGCAGGTGCAACAGCAGTCCACCACGAACAGCAACCGCAAGGGCACCCCATCAAGTCCTCGCACCCAACCCTCCGAAATGCTGGAAAACCGTCGAAGTCATGGGGTCAATACTGCCACCACCAATACCACTACCGTTACCATGGTGACGACGGCGACTACTACGACGACTGCTACTACTGCTGCTGCTGCTGCTGCTGCGACGTCTACTTCCGTTGCCTACCACTGCCGCCACGGCTATTGCATCGCCACCGCCACCACCACCACCACCACCAGCAGCACCACCAGCAGCAGCAGCAGCAGCAGCACCACCACCACCACCACGACCAGCACTACCACCACCACCACCACCACCACCACCACCACCACCACCACCACCACCACCAGCACCACCTATTTTCAGGTACATGGCGGACATCGGCATGTTCGGCAAGACCCGCGAGCCCTCGAGTCACATCGTGTGGTCTGAGGCAGGACGAGTGCTTCAGTCAACCGGTCCGCCGGTTCGCTTCCAGTGAGGATCTGCAAATCTGAAACTGAGGAGTGGAGTAGGTTCTCGGAAAAGTGCTGCGAAGCCACCATGTAGCATGCTCGTGTTTCTTGTCTGCGATGCTAACGACAGTACTCCAAGTGGCGCCAACCAGTCGCTTAAATTTTTCGCCACCTAATTGAGTATGAGGAGGGACAAGTTGGCTTTTAGTTGTTCCTCTTGATGCGAAAGGTCATGGACTGGGCAATCTACTTTCGGATAATTTCGTTGCAGTGCTGGCCCATCGCGTCTCTGCTCGTCTCGAAGTGCTTTCGAATGGCCTAAGCGAGAGACTGCGGCTGGGATGCTGACGCTTACTACCATGAACAGCAAAGTTGCGAGCCAGGAGTTCGCTCGGAAAGCCCCAGGATGCTATCGTCGTCGCAACAGCACGTCAAAAGGAGCCTGTCAAAGAGCTCGGTCGGAGCTCGAATCTTTGGAATTGCTGAACTCCAAAATCGGGTCCATGGCGTGCAGCAGCATCGACATTATTACAAGTTGCGCCTGCTGCACAAGTTGCGGCCGAAGTATGTCTTCTGAAAAGCACAAAAGAATCGCCACGACGGACGTGGCGTTGGACCTTCCGAAGCACTTTTCCGTGTCGAGTCTGAGTGTCATTCGCCCTGCGGCGCTACTTTATGTGAACCATGCGCGCTTGCGAACTGAAGAATCCCGAGGACATCCAAGGCCCCAAGGCGGTAGAAAGGGTAATCGCTTCAAGGATGAAGCTCGAGACTCTGGATCTCGGATCCCGTGCTCGCTGTGGCTTGCGATGCCGGAGCCAGACATGAGACCCCGGTGCGGGAGGCTCCAGACATTCGTAGCTAGCTGTCGCTTGCAAGGCACCGTGACCCGTTTCCTTCATCCTTAGTCACCGGGTTGCGATACCGCAAGGTCGTCAGAAATTGCCATGCGTGTGCAGTGCAGTGGGTTTTTAACATCGGACTTCGGCGGAGGCCACGCCCGAACAGCTGGCAGAACTCATGATGCAAGTGCGACGAGATTTCGGTGGTCTCGCCCCCAGCTATTGAGTGCCTGCATTGATGTGTCGTCTGCATCATGTGAATTGCGCTGCATGCTCCCTGGATGCTGAGATAACTTGAGCCAGGAGCAGGCACGTGCTTTTCTGACTAAATGCATCGGCTTGCGCAATCGGCAAAAGATTCTACGGGCATGTATGGGTTTTCCGGGGGTTCCTGCGAATGCCAGGGTGCAGTTGCGCCAGGATCGAGGGCCCATGACCCTTAAGCCTGAAGTGCGTTGAGCATCGCAGTAGCTTGCGTACTGGCATGGGGTGTCTGCCAGATCCTGGCTGCTTTGCACTACGAGAGCCACAAGCGTCGGAGCCGAGCACAGTCCGCCCCGGGTTTGGGTCATTGGGCTGAAAAAAGGGCTTCAGAGCAAGGCTGCTCAAATGCTTGCCACATGTTTTGCATCTGGAAACAACGGCCGTCCGGGGGTCGTCGTTTGCATCGCTTCAAACCACAGCAGCTTGGGGATCTTTCGAACTCTTGTGGTTGGCCACCCAACCCTGGCAAGAGGATTACGAGGCACCTTGAAAAGACAGACGACCTCAGACTGATCGGTCGTTTGGTGCCGCGGTGCTTGCACTGCTAAGGCTCCCTGATGGCCATTAATGCGGCTTGATAAGCTCCGAAATGCCAGGTACCGCGTGGCCGCCGTGAGGGACATCTCTGCAGGGAAAAAGGCGGGCAGTTACATTCTGTTGCATTCTGACAAAACTTTAGGTCCTCACACGCACAGCAGCTTGAGACGTGCTGAGTTGATCTTTGACATCTCTCGTGCAGGTGTTGGGTATCAACGACAAGTTCCGAGAGCAACTGGACGCTTCCTTACCATTCTGCCCAAAGTTTGCTGCATATCCTCGCAAGTGCTGTATGCCGCCAGGGCCATTAGCATGATTATCAGCCCGTTGCAAACAACATGGAGTCCCAAGGAAGCAACAAGAACCCTGACCAGAATGACCAACGACAACAAGCCGACTCGCACTGCTGCTCCGGCCTCGGCGACGCCGCTGGTGTTTCTGCTTCCATGCTCACGAACATCCAAATGCAATGTTGAAGGCATCTGGTGCTACCGTCGAGTTCGTGTCGTCACAGTATTCTGCACGGAGCCCAGCCGAACATAGTGGCCTCCCCATCTAGCTTGCGAGCGGCATCTGGGAGTTTCTGTGGCGAGCAAGTAACTTTGGGCCTTGGATGCTAGCCCGGCAGCTACTTTGCAGCCTCCGCTTGCTGCCTTCGTGCCAGGTTCTTGAGAGCGTCGGTACTGCCAAGTTTGGTTTAGCCCGCACGGGCGATTGCTCAGTTCCTGTAACAGTGCCCTGTGCTTGCTGCCGAAGTCGTCCAGGTGGCACGTGAGTTCAGTGGGACGGATGTCCTCCCAGCATTATCGCCGGCAATGGTGCCTGTGGAGGTACTCTGGCGCACGCGCTGCGGCAGCGCCAAAGCTGGGAAAGACTTCAAGATGCAGGTTCTGCGCATGACAAATCAAAGATGTCAGTTTTCCAAAGCCTTGCTCCTGCACGTCACGCGCCGTTCAGTGTGCTGTGCTTGCATGGGAGATCGCAGGCGTCAACCAGGGTGGGTTGTATGTCACTTCACAATCTCACAATTGTGTGCGAGGAGGGCAACGTCCTTTTCGAAGAGGGGGACACTGAAAAGGCTGACACTTCAAGAATGAATAGTTTCAGCCGAATTTCATTGGCTGTGTTGCTTGTCTGTGGCCACCAGACAGGACATGTTCTGTTTTGAGCAATGCAGGACCGGACGCAGGACTTGATGCTTCTTTGCGGCTCAGATAGGGACTGCGACGCAGCTATACTCCTTAGGATATCACATGCTTCGAGCCTGAAGCCTTCGAGCGATGGTTCGTCTCAGGTTGAACACGGTTAGCAGTCCTAGCTTGACATGAGTCAACAACTTCAGCATGAGGATGATGTAAGTCAAATGTAGGTGCTGTGCCCTCGCGATGGATGCTGGTATCGAGCACGTACAGAGGGACCATCACTCTGAACGAGACCTGGCCCTGCAGGGGTTCGCTGTTCTCGATTTGAAGCTGGATGTGCGAAGTCTTGAGAGTTGCCAGAGAGACGCCGGGTCCCTGCGGCGTCACTTGCGCAGTCCCCCAGAAGAGCTTTTGGACTCATTCCTGGGCAGGCGAGGGTCAGCACGCTGTTGTGAGATCCCATTTGATGGGCCGCCAAGCCGTCGCGTACGCCTGGAGAGCTTGAGAGAACTCAGCGGGAAAGTGGAGACTGCAGTGGCTTCCGTTGACAGGCTGAACCACTTGGGCTGCATCCTGCATGAAACAGGCGCCTGGGACCGTCGGTCTGCTCCACCCTTGCAGGAGTCTGACATAGAGAAATGGCTTCCACGTCTTATGGCCGGGACTTTGACGGCGATTGTTGCATTGGGTCCTGCCCCAGTGGAGGTTGAGCTCCAATGTCTCAGTAATGAACTTGCCGTAGTTGAAGTTGTGGATGAAGAGGCTGTTAATGTCGATGCGGCGGACACTGTGGATTCGGAGAAGCAGGAAGAGTCAGAGTCAGAGGACGAGAAGCCGCCTACTAAACTTGTCAGTACAGAGTTTCCAGCAAAGCCACACCAGATAACGCTGCATTCTGGCAGGCTGTTGCTTGTTCGATCCAACTTGGTGTGGCAGACTCTCGCGGGCGATGCAGGCGACTTCGTGACATCATGGATGTTTGGACACAAGCCAGAAGTGGATTGGGCGGTCCTGAACAAGCCACATGGCAGCCAGGCACCGGGCCTCCTGCAGCTAAAAGCCTGGCTGAAGAAGCGTCTCGAGCAGCGCAAGGAAATCCAAGACAGTCGGAACAGGGAATCTGAAGCTTCGGAGTGGCGAGTCATGGTTCCATATGTGTACAAGTTGAAGGCCCCGCGCGCCCCTACCTCTGGAGCTGCTCGCTTGGAGGTGTTCTCCAAGGGCGAGATTGTCCTTGGGGCCGTGGAGTCAGTTGATGGCAGCCTCTGGTTAACGACTCAGTCAGGCCAAGCTGTTGACGGCCAGCCAGTCACAGGGTATATTGCAATTGAAGCTGAAACGGAGCAGGCCATACAACCAGTGAAAGATTTCCCGCCAGCCTGGCAGTCTCTGTGTGCCCACTTGCCAGCTGAGTCGTCACACCAAATCGTCGTTCGAGCTGCATCCTGCAAGTTCGCCACTACACATCAGGTGCGACAGTTCTGGCCTCCACACCTGGCCGGAGCTGACTTTTGTGTTGAGGTTCCGCTCGCAAGATGGGATCATGCGAACCACTTTTCAGAAGATGGAAGTGAGAGCGACAAGGCCCTCTGCAAGCACGGCGCCTTCATGGATGGGGCAGAGCTTTTTGACAACAAGCGGTTCCAGATCTCGGCTGCAGAAGTCATATCCATGGATCCACAGCAGCGGATGGCTCTGGAATGTGCAGAGGAAGCTTTCTTCAATATGGGCCTGACCCGAGAGATGCTTTCCAGATCAGTCTCTGGGGTTTACGTCGGTGCAGGCATGCATGAATGGCCTGGCACCCCAAACTGCGCTCGAGATCCTTCTGCTGACATGTACTCATGCACTGGCGGTAGCACAGCAATTCACTCGAATCGCATTTCCTTCAATTTGGGTCTCATGGGACCTTCGATAACTGTGATTTGTGAGGGTGCATCGTCCCTTCTGACGCTAGAGCGTGGCTTCGTGTCTTTGGACCCGCAGAAGTCCGACAATGTACGCGCATTGTCCATGGGCGTCTCCACGATGCTTGTTCCATCAACTTGGGTACACCTGTCACAACAGGGCGTCATGTGGCATGGAGGCCTCCATGGACGCTGCAAGGCTTTCGCCAATGAGGCCACAGGTTATGTTCGTGGAGAAGGCTGTGGCTGTGTGGTTCAAGAGGTCCTCCAGAAGAGTGACGGATCAGACGAGAACTTTTTGGGAGCCGTGCGCAGTGCATGCTCAAAGCAACAGCCCGTTGCTGGTCTCCTGGATGCCCCGAGTGGCCCTGCAGAGCAGCTGCTAGTTTCGGACACTTTGCGACGTGCTCAGCTGGATCCGCTTTCGATAGATGCCATCGACTGCAACGCAGAAGGACGGCAACTGTGCGATGCAATAGAGATAGCAGCTATCTCTGATGTCTTGTGTCCGTCTGACGGCGTCAATGACTCGCAGATTCGCCCATTGACTCTAACGTCCTGCAAATCTAGCCAGGCCCATTGCCTTGAGGCTGCTGGGATATGTGCACTTCTTCGCATCCTCATGAGCACGAACACCGGATGTCATGTTGCGCCCAACCAGCACCTGTACACACTGAATCCAATCCTCTGCTCAACATGCGAGTTCGATGACTTCTTGTGCCAAGTTCCAACGGAGCTGGTGAAGTCTAGGAGTCGAGATTCAGCCATCGGCGTAAAGGGCCACAGCATCGCTGGGACGATGGGCCTGGTGCTAGCCTCGATCACGCAACGCCGGCCCAAGGAGAGAGAAGGGTCGCCCGCAATTCAAGCGTTGCCATTCTGGCCATCTGGGAACGTTCCTTTACCTGCGCACGCTGATGCGCAGAAGGGCTATGAGCTCCTGGGTTCCTGGAATGGCTGGCAGGAATCTGTTCAGATGATGCGGCAAGGCATATCCGGTCGCGAACATGTCTGGGCAGCTGAAATTCCAGTCGCCGCCGGAGGATCGGTGAGCTTCCAAATCCTGCTTGATGGAGATCCAGAAAGGATCCTACATCCTGGCTCTGTGGCTGCAGGACCAAACACGCGTGTCTTGGGGCCACATCCCTCAAGTCAGGTTGGTCATGCGGTGTCTTGGTGCATTGCAGCCACACAAGAGGTCATGTGTCAGGTTGAGCTTCACATTTCGGGCTCATGGCGTGCAGTGTCTTGGTTCCGACGTACCAGCTCGCAGGTCGTCGACAAACAGTTGACTTGACAGGTTGAATCGCGAACCTGCGCTGTGCTGGCTTCTAGCCTGAAGAGGGAAAAGCTGACTGCAAACTCGATGCACTTGTCCAGACATGTTTGTCTTGGACCAGCCAGGTGGGCAATTTCAAGCACTTTAAGCCTTAAGCCCTGCCAGGTTGTCGAAGTTGAAATCATTGATGATGATGACTACGAAGATGATCAGGATGCTGCTCGGGGGGCTTCGGTGCCAGGAGGGTTCTAGCAGCGCTTCTTTTCTCCGGCGTTTGGGGTGCTCTCGATTTCTCTGGCCGAGGCAGGGCTGGATTGCTAGAAGCCCGCATAACACAGAGGAATCCTGGAAACTCCAGATCCTCGAATGTTGCACCGAGCTCCTGCAGCGTGCTAGGCTATTTTGAGAGAGAGAACCGAGAGGGTTCGACGTGGGCCTACTATGAATCACGGAGTCTCTCCTCTCATGGCGCTTCGGTCCAAGACTTGTTGTAATATGCGCTTGCCACCAGGCGGGTTGAAGACTCGAACTAGACACTCATGATGACAGTAGTTTGTTGGCCGAGCAGAGACCTATTGCCCAACTATCACGCTTAGGGTGAAAGAGGCGCCGTCAATCCTACATTCGTGCTGATTTATCGAGGCACTTGCGCTGCCGACAACGGCCAGGTAGAGCCACACAATTTAATGGTCTTGCTTTCCATTTCGCCGCCTGACGGTCTCTGTGCAGGAGTTCTACATGGAGATTTGCTCTGCTGTAGCAACCGGAAATGTTGAAGCCCACATCGGAGAGAAGAAGGAAGCGACTGTGGTCACCCTGGCAAATTGGACTCGCGCGGCTCAGTGTCAGTGCAACTCGTCTCGCTCGCACCTCTTGGCACTATGGCCTGTCGTTTTTACTCTCAGCGCAGGTTCAGGAAGAAGCTCCGTTCTTTGCGCCAGGTTATCGTCGATGATGACCTGCCGGGAATTATTGGTTTTGTTGCCGAGGAGATCAAGGTGGAGGACCCTGTGCACGTGAAACAAGCTATGTTTGATTGGCAAAGGCTGCCGAAGATGCCGTCGCATGACATCGAACTTGCCAGGAGAGCCCGCAGACGCAACAAGTGGAGATCAAGATCCGACGCAAAATGGGTGCCTCAGGACACCATGTACTGCGAAAGCTAGATGCAGTCAGGGAGCATCAGTTCTCCCAGCGCCGCAGTGTTTGCTGATGATAGTTTTGGCCCGACATGCCTTCCCGCGTTCACTCCCTCCTAGTCATTTCCTGGCAGGAACCGTTACGTGCAAATACAGAACCGAAGATGCATCTGCCGGGTGCCTATGTGGTCCACACTGCTGCTCGTGATGATGATGGCCAAGTTGAAGTCAGCATAGCGTGTACCTTGCAACTGAGAATGCTACGAATCTCAAGGCGAAAGCAGGGCCGGACTACACAAAGTTGGAGGGCGAGCTGGAGCTGAAGCCAGGCGGCTGAGAGATAATGGAAGGAATACTCCCCCTAGCTGCAGTGAATTTGCCACTTCGTTATCGCGTGCTAGCCTGAAGTTGCAGCTCTTCACCAAGAAGCGCTGCATCAATTGCTTGTGCGCTGTGCTAGCTTGCGCAATGCAAGTGCTTGTTTACAAAGGGTTCCGACTGCTGAAGTACTGCACTCGAGCTTCGACATGACATGTACAGGACAGATGGAAGCTTCCCTTTACGACAACCTGACCTGTCTTGCAAGAGCACGTCTGCCTTCCTTTAGTTCATGTCACGCAAATCAGGCACCAGTGTGTAGCAGATGGCAAGACTTCTCTTGGATGGCCCGAAGTACGAAGATGAAGTCTTTGTGGCCAGGTCGACATCATGCCAAAGGGCCGCTACGAGTCGACGGAGAAGTCGGGCCCCAAGTCGAGAAATTGATTAAAACCCATGGCCAGACGAGCGGAACTCGAGTTCGCTCGCACCGAATCCGCATAACTTCGGAAGCCTTTGCGACCTCGGGGCCGCGCCAGTCTAGCAAAAAACGTGTTGCGAAGCGCAAGGCAACATTCGGTCGAGGCCCTATCTAAGGCCCTAAGCCAGGCTTGGCCTTGAAAGTGCGAAAGTTCTGGATCATTGACATGCAGTTCCTTGGGGCCCCGGTCATACAGCCTCGGCAGGTTGAAGCCTTCGCTTCACCCTGAGTTTTATAGGTTTTTCGGCTCTGCAGTCAGCGCGATGCAGACCCGCTGGACCCTTCAAGTTCAGGCCTTCTCTCATGCCGGGATGCAGCTGCGTGAACTTGAGAACTTGCAGGATCGGACCTACGCTCTTCATTACTTATGGAGTTGTAGGCCTTCCAAATTGTCAAAAAGGCTAAAATAGAGTATGTGCTGCTGCAGAATCCACTGCTGAGGTTCAGGGTCATCTTGGAAGAGCCGTCTGGAGGTGGAACACTCGGCATGGAGACGTGGCGCCTGTCTTTGATTTGAATTGTTTGCCTCAATGTTGATCTCGTGGGGGAAACTCCTAGGCTGTACCGTAGACCACCCACCGTCCGCCACGTGGCTGTCCTGCAGGACTTCGCTTTGATGTCAGCAGCGATGGTGGCAGTGAGTCCTGCGTGTGCACTGCGGGATGCTGAGATGGCCACAACTTGAACGCTCTTTCGGATGTGCTGGTGTTTAAGCTGTGCTGGTAAAGGCACCCTATGCAAACTTGCCGGTAAACAGCTAAGGTGTGGATCCTTGCAGACGTCTCGCACAAGCCTTTCATGGACAAGGACGCGCGGGAACAAATGGGGGAGCCGCACATTCGTTGCACAATCCAACTTTAACTGATGCCGCCTTGCCCGTTCTGACTTTGCCAGATTGTCTCGTCCCTGTCGCCGAACTGGGATGAGGTAGCACTAGGCAACACGGCTTCCAGCTCAGAGGACACGCAGAATGTGCGTCTGCATATCGATATGACTCATCTCTCGCTGCAAGCCTTGCCTTGCGTTCCTGCGCGCTGAGGCTTGGTTGGGGCAATTCCTTGAAGCATTGTACTGCCGGGCCCCTACGATGGCCAAGCGGCTTATCCTATGCTAGGGCACGTGGATCGGGAGCGCTGGGTTGGGTAGAAGGTCTGCTCGTGAGGCTTGGGGGGTGAAAGAGAGCTTTTACACTTACGGGTCGTGAAGCCACCTCCCGCTACATCATGGACTTCCGCATGATCTGCTAGTAACGAAGGGCATCAGGGCTTTCCTGCTCAAAGTCAGGCTGGACTGCTCGGGATGTATCTGACAGCCAGGCGGTGGTGACCGAGAAGAGCAAAGCAAGTCGTCTTGGTTCGAGTTTGTCAGCAACCCGGGCTTCTGCAAAGACAGACCGAAGCGTTCTAGCTTGCCGTTTGTCAGTGAAAGACTATGAGTTTTGGGCAGGTTAGTGCAACTCAATCATGCTGAGGTGCTTCACGTGATGTCCCTGCCGTGGAAAGTTGTCTTCGCTCTCGTGCCGCCAACCGAATACTGCGGTGGTTGGCTGGGTTCTTAGCACGTCAGCCGCCAGATCCAAGTTGTCTATTTCTAAAATCCGGCTCGTGACCCCACGGCGCAGGCTTTGCTTCTTCATTGCGCTGGTCCGACACCTGGGCTCTTTCTCAAGTTCTTCTCACCATAGCACAGAGATGTTCAGGCTTTGCACATCTGTGCACTCTTTTTTGGTCTTCGTGGTGCATGATCCACTGCAGGTAATGATTGGTTGCGTCACGATTATCATTGGAGATTTGGCCTCCCTGTTGGGCTGCTCGATGAACGTCAGAGCCTCGTTTTGATCCAGCTGCAAACCGAGCTGGAGCACATACCGGTCCAGACCGCCTAATGGCTCAGATCAACGACCTGCAGACCGCAATCACACTAGTGGCCATGGGCACTTCACTGTCCAGGACCCGGAGAGCTGGACGCATGCGCCAGATTGCACCATATCGACTCATCCTTGCTTTTTGCTTCTGTCTGGATATGTCAACAAGTGGTGCATTGAGGCCAGACACCTTCGCATCCAGAACGGCAGCCCGACAGGACATGGCAACCTTCAGGTTACCTCTGATTAAGGATGCCTTTCGCAGCACTGGAGCCATGCAGAAGTGCGAGTATCCCGGAGATGCACGCGTGATCGCCGCAGGATGAATATGCTGATGCCAGCATTGGAAACGCCAGAAGCTGTGCTGTGAAGCACACGTGTTTTTGTAGTGACATTCGCTGGCAGAGCATGGTAATGAGGTCACTGGGAGTAACTCCGTGAACGTCTTCCTTGGCATTGGCCTCCCGTGCGCTCACATGGGGACATGCCTTCTGTGAAAGCATCAGACCGCAGTCTTTCCACCAGCTCGAAAGACGACTATTCACTGTTCTGATTCTTCCCGTTGCTGGCAATGCCCGTAGGGGTCCTCTCTGGCAGATCCACCCTGAAAGCATATTTCAACAGCCACGGCCAGGTGGATGATTGGCGCCATCTACTGGAACATCCAGGGAGCTACTCCAGAATGGCAAACTGCATATCCAGGGCCACATCCTTGATCTGTGCCCGTTGTCGGCAGAACTGAACCTGTGTTTCAAGAACTGGTGGATTCCCTTGAGGCTCGTGGACACGCATCCCAACGGCGGATTCTACGTCCGCCCCAAGTTGCCACCGGCAAGCTATCTCACTTTCCAGCCCCTTTGCACGCTCGACTTAAGGTGAGCTCTGAAGGTTTGGCCTTCAGCGTCGCGGTCTGGCACCTGGAGCCAGTGGACAGATGCACGTGAGCCAGGGCCTTTTCATGCCGTTGCATTGCTGAGGTCTTTTCTTGCTGCGCGGTGGTGTGCTTTGGCGTTCTCATCTTCCGCCTGGAGCCGAGGTCGTAATGGAATCGGCTTTGCCGAACAGCTTCACGTTACAACTAACTGTTTACGCATGCATCAAGACTGCACTCAGTGGAAAGAGGCCGAACCGTCAGCAGACTCGCGGAAGGTCGACAAAATTACTTCCTAGCAAAATAAGCCTCACGGCATCAGTCCGAGCTTGCGGAGGGCTTCTGAGAGGAAAGGAGACCGGCTGACGCCCGAGATATTTGTGAAGAGTCAGATGTGGAACAGCACGTGGTTCATAGACGCGACTGGCACAAATAGGACCTTCGACATACTTTCTAGATTCTGGAGGGCTGGATTTTTCCACAACAAGAAAAGTATGTTTCAAGCCTGAACCGTGTAATACGTTGATTCGTGTCATAGCTGATTTGATGTCTCCTGCTACCGTTTCAGTCCTTTCACACAAGGTCGGTCCTACTTTGGCGGTGAACTGGGTGGACCCAAGCCGGCGCAGCACCTGCCCCAGGACTTTCACACCAGTTGGAGCCCGAAAGCGCCCATTGCACACGTGACTGCTGTGTCGTGCCTGAAAGCCACTAGTAGTGCACAAAGCTCGCCACAGTAAGCGCCAAGCTGTCGAGCAAGAGAGCCAAAATAGCCAAACTGTCCTCAGAACAGCACAGCAGCCTAGGTACATCTCGGGTGGCGTCTTGGTGCTGTTGTGGGCAGCGAGCTCGGACTTGTTGAACTCACCTCTTCTAGGAGGAGTCTGGAGGCTGGACTTTGCTTAGCGGCTTAGCGGACCAGGTTAGGAGCGACTGGCTGTCTCGCATAGAGCCCAGGCCATCTACATTGGCCTTTCAATCTGGTTCAGCAGCTGAGCTGCGAGGACACAGCCGAGATAGTTCCAAGAATGTACCATGACTGAGACTCCCCGCGAAACCTTTCCTTCACGCTTGTACTCGTATGATGACATCACTCTAGGACCCCACGCAAGAGGAGGCGACATCGGCTTCCAACATGTTCCAACTCATCTAGGCAATCTAGTCCATCTTGAGGAGCCTTTGTATGGATGGCTCCGGTGCAGACCGAGGCCTCCCGTCCCTGCATGCACTGCGTTTGATTACGTAGACTTCGACTGGTAACAGTTCAGCATGAGCGGCCTTGACTGTTCAACTGCATTCAAGAAGTTGCTGCCCAGAGACTCACCTGCTGAACCTGGAGGTGGTAGGCAATGCTGAACTCGCTGGTGTTTAAGGAGCAGCTGCAGCCGACACTTCAGGACTGTAGACCTTCCCCCGCAAGCAACGGAACTGTGCAATGAGTCTTAAAGAGCTTGAACGCCTGCCTGTCTGGTTCACTGACAGTGCACTCGCATGAGACTACCGTAATGATTTCCACTTCTGGGGAAGCAGCTTCTGAAGGGGCATCAGATGCAGCCACATGCGCATAGAGTTGCTGCAAAGCAGATAGTTTTCACCAGTCACCGGCCTCTCCAAATGTGGGAGCCGGCCTCAACTCACTTGCCACACGATGTGTGCAAATCACTATGTGGCAAGAAGCTGACCATCTCGGCACACTGTCCCAGCTGTTTGCAGCGAGTGCCCTTACCCGCTCCAATCAGAGAGAGAATGAAGGGAATCGAAAGGAATCCGAGTAGCCAAACCTTCTTGTGAGCTTGGGTAGCTGGCGGACCTGCTGACTCCTCGTGCTTCTTTCTCACGCAGCTAGTAGCTCGCAGCCTCATTGGTTTCAACAGAAGTGGATCCTTGAAGCCTGCTAGTTGCAGCCCATATTTAGTGCTTCTGCTTGTGAGCATTTCGCTGTGGAGCCGATTGCGCAAGGCCTGCAGCCCACTCTCGTGGATTTTCTCATCATATACATGTGCATCATACGCAGGAAGTGTTGCAGAGTGTCGGCAAACTGGAGAGTGGGCACGTCTCACTGGACACCACGCTTGCAGGCATAGCCTCGCAGGTAAGTATGAGGTGCAGGCTCAAGCATGCGGGATGGTTTTCAGAAGGAAGTTTTCGCCTCACATGCTCGAGTCTGAATGCGTGCGGGATTATCAGCTCACACATTTCGAGGTGTGATGGTCGAAGACCCATCTACCTCCATGTGGAGCCTTTGCACAAGAGGACCAGACGGGCATGTTCCGGAGCGGGCTTGCAAGATCGAGTTTCTCGAACGTCGAAGCTGGACAGCCTTGCTGAGTTCCTGTGCCAAGGCTCTCCGCCGTTGGCGGGATAGTGCACTTGCTTTGGCCAGAGATCATTGACTTGCCGTGTCACAAAGCCAAACCTTAGCTTTACGAGGTTCAAGTCGCAAATGATTCATACTAGTAGAAGGGCCAAATCAAGGTGCAATAAAAAGTGACATCATGAATCGTAGAGCGCGCCGAAAAAAACAAAAGCAATTCATTCAATATTATATATTTGCTTGTCCTTTTCTTTTGATTTTAAATCGATTTTTTTTAAATCTCCTATTTGAAAATCTTATTACCTTATGAATTATTATGATAATATATATAATTTTAAATCTATATAGAATCTCGAAATGAATAAAAGTTAAATATCCTAAATTCTTTATATGCCATTATTTCTAAAATATGATTTTTTGAATATTTATATAACCTTCGTCATAGATAGATACATAAAAAAATAAATAGAAATTATTTGATTAATATTATTTTTACAATAAGTAAAATCCCTTTTAATTTTATATAAATTTATGCAATATATCAGTTTTCTGATATACTGATTTTCCAATTTATTTTTTAAATTCAGATTTAGAATAATATGAATATGAAA